TAGCCAGAAAGCACTCTCTCGTTTGCAGTTAGTCCAGAACGCTGCGGCACGACTCTTAACAGGGACCAAAAAACGCGAACATATTACCCCAATCCTTGCGTCCTTGCACTGGCTCCCTGTTAATTTTAGAATTGATTTTAAAATTTTATTGTTTGTTTTTAAAGCTTTGAATGGACTGGCCCCTCAGTATATTACAGACCTCATCCAAATTTACCGGCCCTCTCGCGCTTTGAGGTCTGAGGGCCAGCTCCAGCTCGTGGTTCTGAAGACGAACCGTAAAACCAGAGGGGACAGAGCGTTCTCCATTGTCGGCCCTAAGCTGTGGAACGCTCTGCCCCTCCACATCCGTACGGCCCCCACCGTGGAGTGTTTTAAATCCCGTCTTAAGACTCACTTTTATTCTTTGGCTTTTAGCACCGCGTAAGTTGTGTGGTCCCCCTGTGTCTTTTTATCTATTTTATTGGATTTTATTTTTATTTGTAGTTTTTAATGTGTTTTTATTTCTATTTATTTGGTGGAGCTCATTTGTATTGTTTTTGTTTTATTGTTATTGTTGTTCAGCACTTTGGAAACGTTTTGTTGTTTAAATGTGCTATATAAATAAAGTGGATTGGATATATTATTACACGCTCCTCACAGCAGCAGTAGAATGCTCCAATTGAAATGTTTTGAAATGTAATTACAAAACATTCTACCGAACCTCTCAAAACATTAATGACCGCTGCCCTTTGGCAACGCACTCTCTGCTTGTCTTTCAGATGTGTAGATTACTCCGCAAGTAGTTCCGGCCGCTCCGGAGCTAGCCACGCTCAATAAACGCAAATACCAATCAATCAACGCAATTAAATGTTAATCGGAGAATACATTATACATATACATTATTAACACAAGTGCTCGGAAGTTTTCAGAATTTTCCGTTTACGTTTTCATGACAAAAACACTGATGTAATGCGAGAAAAGGCGATCCCGAAAAACCCGGAAGTAGATACGGCACATTTTAGGAACATTTGCAGACGATGGAATTATGGATTTAGGTTAAGTTTATGTTTGGGTCACTCACCGCTGATGTTCAGGATTCTGTGTTCAGTTTTCATGCAGTTCCAGAGAGTTATAGTTTGGGAGTTACAAGCCTAACTGTTGCTAGCCTAACTGTTGCTAGCATAGCCACGGGAAAGCCTTTGGGAACAATTTTATTTTCATTCTTATTTTAAATAAACCTTTCGGCATTCCTTAAAGTGGACTGAAGTTTGTGTTGTGTGTTCTATTGGTATAAAGCCGTATAATAAGCGGGATAACGTATATTACGCAGGTCATTATCGGAAAATAAGTACCTTCAGGGCGGAAGCGTCGGGGTCCGCTTCGTCCCGTCAGTACTTATTCTCCGATAATGACCTGCGTAATGGGCTAGACACGAGGGAGGCGACATCGCATCGCCTCCATTCATTTCAATGGGACGTGCGCGACATAGCGTCAATCGCTAGCGAGCCTCCTGCTCAGCGACGGGCGAAAAACGTGCGTGTGAAATCCTCCTGCTCGTGCATGTATCGTGCACGCGCAGGTCAGCGACGCGATCCCAGAAAGTTGAAATCGGCTCAACTTTTCGACGCTGTCGTCAAGCCGCATCGCCCCCGTCTGTCATGTTATCTGAGCGACAGCGTTGAGTTTCGCTGATCGCTCTCATTTGTCGCCTCCCGTGTGTCGAGCCCTTAATAACGGCTTATTAACCGAGCGCGAGGTCTGTATGGAGAAATATCAGACCGCGGCCTTAATGTACAGGTCTGATATTTCTCTGCACAGACCGAGCAAGCGAGGTTGATAAATGTTTTATTACATGACTCTTGTCTGTGTCTTTACCAACGCTTTTGAGATATTTGTGAAGTATGTTCATGTCCGACTTGGTTTTGTGTGATACGCGCTGCGGACAGATTGTCATGGTAACGGTCCGAGGAAAGATATCAAATGTGATATGTGCTGTTCTGACCAATTGTCATGGTGTGGATTTTTATTTCTGTATTTGGTTTTATTTTGACATTAGTTATCTGGTTTCATTTCAGTTTTACTTCATGTCCTGTTCCCCTGTGTTGATTGTCTGCCCCGCCCTGATGTGTTTCACCTGTGTCTGTGTCTATATGTACCTGTGTCTATATGTACCTGTGTCTATATGTACCTGTGTCTATATGTACCTGTGTCTATATGTACCTGTGTCTATATGTACCTGTGTCTATATGTACCTGTGTCTATATGTACCTGTGTCTATATGTACCTGTGTCTATATGTACCTGTGTCTATATGTACCTGTGTCTATATGTACCTGTGTCTATATGTACCTGTGTCTGTATGTACCTGTGTCTATATGTACCTGTGTCTGTATGTACCTGTGTCTATATGTACCTGTGTCTGTATGTACCTGTGTCTATATGTACCTGTGTCTATATGTACCTGTGTCTGTATGTACCTGTGTCTATATGTACCTGTGTCTGTATGTACCTGTGTCTATATGTACCTGTGTCTATATGTACCTGTGTCTATATGTACCTGTGTCTATATGTACCTGTGTCTGTATGTACCTGTGTCTATATGTACCTGTGTCTATATGTACCTGTGTCTATATGTACCTGTGTCTATATGTACCTGTGTCTGTATGTACCTGTGTCTATATGTACCTGTGTCTATATGTACCTGTGTCTATGTCTATATGTACCTGTGTCTATATGTACCTGTGTCTGTATGTACCTGTGTCTATATGTACCTGTGTCTGTATGTACCTGTGTCTGTATGTACCTGTGTCTATATGTACCTGTGTCTATATGTACCTGTGTCTGTATGTACCTGTGTCTATATGTACCTGTGTCTGTATGTACCTGTGTCTATATGTACCTGTGTCTATATGTACCTGTGTCTATATGTACCTGTGTCTATATGTACCTGTGTCTGTATGTACCTGTGTCTATATGTACCTGTGTCTATATGTACCTGTGTCTATATGTACCTGTGTCTATATGTACCTGTGTCTATATGTACCTGTGTCTGTATGTACCTGTGTCTATATGTACCTGTGTCTATATGTACCTGTGTCTATATGTACCTGTGTCTACATGTACCTGTGTCTACATGTACCTGTGTCTATATGTACCTGTGTCTATATGTACCTGTGTCTATATGTACCTGTGTCTATATGTACCTGTGTCTATATGTACCTGTGTCTGTATGTACCTGTGTCTATATGTACCTGTGTCTATATGTACCTGTGTCTATATGTACCTGTGTCTACATGTACCTGTGTCTATATGTACCTGTGTCTATATGTACCTGTGTCTGTATGTACCTGTGTCTATATGTACCTGTGTCTATATGTACCTGTGTCTATATGTACCTGTGTCTATATGTACCTGTGTCTATATGTACCTGTGCTTCTCTCCCCTTGTTGCTGCTGCATTGTCTTGTTTAGTTTTGTCCTGGTCACTTTGGATTTTTGGAGTTGTTCTTTGCCTTGGACTTTGTTTTTATTAAAAGCTTTATTTTGGCATTCCTGCGTTTTGAGTCTTCCTCATTTTCACCTAGTGACACAATTGTCATGGTAACGGTCCGAGATGGGAAAATATCAGACCGGTAATCAGCCAATCAGAGCGCGTGTACGGTCCAAGTCATATAATAATAACGCTTCTTCTTCTACTATATCTCTGTGTATAAACCCGGCAGACTGCACCGCCAGGATACGTCATGTCCTGTCCTACGTTTGTTATTCGCGCCACTGCCCTGACGTCATATGAAACCCAAGAATAGTATGGCACAGTATAGAACAGGACAGGACATTAGTATGAAACACCCTCTGAGGACAGACGGTCTCCGTAGTTATGTGTCTCATCCAGTGTGGGCGGGTCCCGGCTCAAAAGTGTCCAAAAGGAGGTGCGCTGACATGCTGCAATACCGGCACGGTGGCTGAGTGGATAGCACTCTCGCCTCTCAGCAAGAAGGTCCTGGGTTCGAATCCCGGCCGGACCAGGGCCTTTCTGAGTGGAGTTTGCATGTTCTCCCCGTGTCTGCGTAGGTTTCCTCCGGGTACTCCGGTTTCCCCTACCACTAAAAATATGTACAATAGGTCTGGCATGCGCCACCTGTTCGGCGACCCCGCTCCCATCTCTGTGTGGAGTGAGAGGACAAGTGCCCAAAAAATAACATTTGTAAACCGCTTTGTGACTCTGGTCTGTGAAAGGCGGTATATAAATAAAGCTTACTTACTTACTTACTTACCACCCCGGGCCTGTGGGGGTGGACCCGGAAAGGGAAATATTCAATGCAAATGTACGTATCTTCAGACCGGTCAAAAACGTCTTTACAGGATGGTCCAAAGGTTGTCTCTTGGCCCAAAGCTCCGTTCCACATGTTTGTCAATGCTGAGTGTTCTGGACCAGTCTAGTTTAGTCGCTGTGGATTTTAGAAGTCTCTCGTTTAAATGAATGGAGCTCGTGCGGCTGAACGGCGGATATGTGCATGACTACGTCCGTTAATACATACAGTCTATGTCTCATCAGAAGTTCTGACTAAAATACTGATCAGAACGTTCAATCTCATTGGCCGGACACATTAAACTGTAACTGAATTTATTGTATTTTATTTATTGTTTGCTCTTATCAGCATTGGCGTCTGCGGCTGAAGGGCATGGGTTCGAGCCCACCTCAAAACCTACTTCATGACTCCCACTGATGTCTGCTGTCGTTGCGTGCTTGGGCAAGACACTTAACCCCACTTTGCCTGAAGCTCCTGCTGAAAGCTCCTGTGGACTCAGCACCTGAGGAGCTGTAGGATCAGTGAGGACCAGGAGGAGCTATCAATTTATCTATCTAAAGTATCTTTCTAATACACAAGTCCACTCAAGGCAAGTTAAAGCTGAGAAACGTGTTTATTAACCACACACAGTTACAACAATGCTGTTAGCTTGGTGACAGATGCAGACGCTAGGACCCGGGGGTCACATGTCGGGGGTGCAGTGGTAGGTGGTGTCATCCAGATTCATAAAAACAGGGCCAAGCACAGTCTCTGGCACAGACGAAGGGCAGAAGATTGGATCGTGGGTAATCGTTCCACGTCATGGCTGAAACATGTCACAGAAAAGAAACGCATTAGGTTCATTTACACCGCGATCGGTTCAGGCGTTGTCATAGTAACACACTGACGTCTGTTCTACGCTAACCCTGTTCATTTTAGTTGCTAAATGTGTATCATTTTTTATAATCATGAGGTATACTTTGCTCTTTTCCGCCTGAATGCAAGCCTTGAGTTTGGTCATGGCAACGGTTGCTAAGAAGCTTTTTCTGGTGTTCCGCTAACAACATTATTCCCTTTCCACAAACATGATTTTGTAGAGTGTAGAGGACGTAGAGTTTGGAGTGTTTCAACCATAGAATAATCCTTAATTCTGGATGTCACGTTTATTTGTTATAAGTTCTAAAGACAAAATAGATGCGTCATTTATGGTCAGGGATCTAAAACACCACAAATGTGTAGACTGTTTGTAGACACCAGGGGTTAGACCGGACTGGGTGAAGACCGGGTGTAGACTGGGTGCAGACCGGGTGTAGACCAGGTGTAGACCGGGTTGAGGTCTCGTACCGTCATGGAAGTTGATCATCAGACCCTCCTCCCGACCGTCCCGGTTGTTGGGCTCATCCGTAAACCACTGCTCAAAGTCCCAGCGTGTCCCGTCGCTCCACATCCACCTGTTATTCTGAGGATCATAAAGATATTTGTTTTAATTTAAGGCTGCAGCACACTTTATTCCCTCTAGTGAAATAAGTAAGTGCAGTGGCTGAGTGGTTAGCAGTCTCGCTTCTCAGCAAGAAGGTCCTGGGTTCGAATCCCAGTCAGAACAGGACCTTTCTGTGTAGTATTTACATGTTCCCCGTGTCTGCTCCGGTTTTCTCCAGGTGCTCCGGTGTCCCCTACCACTGAGCGAGTGAATGGTGTTGAATGGAGGCTTTGATGGACCAGTGTGTTCTTGTCTCACTTCCGTCCTCACCGTTTGTGGAATGTTTGGAACAATATCTGACTCTGACAATTGTAAAGCGCTTTGAGTGACCTTGGTCTGTGAAATGCGCTATATAAATAAACATTACTTAATTATAGACCACCTTTCACAGAACAGAGTCACAAAGCACAGAGAGTGGGTCGCCAGGACAGGAGGCATAACTCAGTGAGCTAGCTAAGTGAGCTAGCTAAGTGAGCTAGCTAAGTGAGCACACTAAGTGAGCACGCTAAGTGAGCACGCTAAGTGAGCAAGCTAAGTGAGCTAGCTAAGGGAGCTAGCTGGTTGGTCCATATAGCTACAGTCTATGGTCTGGAACAACATAATTGACCATCCTTTCTATACATATTTGTTTTATATTTAATTCATCTTCAGTGTCTTTGTATGAAATTAGATTAAATAAATCTGTAGTTGATTCTGTGATTTGTGAAGGGATTAAAACCGTTCATGTGACCATTATTAGAGGTTCACATGTTTCGATCCCAGCCTGAAGTGTGGACGGCGCAGACTTTTATATTTGTTGCATTTACCACGACGGCGTCAGTCCCACCGAGCCAGGTCCCAGTGTTGGACCCTGTGGCCTTAAAGATCAAGTCCCCGATGAACGTGTTCTCTTCAAGACTGTGGACGGAGACCAGGTTTGCTCCGACCCGGAGACAGCTTCTCTGTGGACACAAGGGACAAGGACATAGGAGACTAGGACATAGGAGATTAGGACATAGGAGACAAGGACATAGGAGACTAGGACATAGGAGACTAGGACATAGGAGACTAGGACATAGGAGACATTCAGAATGAGCAGGAAGTGGAGGAAACAGACTCGTTGAGGTTGAACGCATGAAAAGTGGCTAATAAAAGTCTGTGTTTTATGAAATCATAGGTTCTATGCCCGCTCACCTCTGCATCCATCCAGGAGGACTTCCGGTTGAAGAACTTATAACAACGAGAATCAAACGGAGTCCAGCCCTTCTCACAGCCTGAGACACAAAGGACACTTTCATCATTCATTAATACTCTGGCTCAGTTGGTAGAGAAGGTTGTGGGTTCGAGTCCACCACAAGACCATTGACTCCCACACCAATGCATTATTATTATTATCATCATTAATTCACGTCACTGACCTTGGTCTCCTCCTATTGGTCTAATCTGAGAAGAGAAAAGATGTTTTAATATAAATACGTCCGTGTCCAAAACGTCTCACTGGTTTGAACAGAAGGGAGCACATCACCCCTGTGTTCGTGTCCCTCCACTGGCTCCCTGTGTGCTTCAGAATGGATTTTTTTGGTTTTTACTGATTACTTTTAAAGCTAGTTTAGGTCTGGCACCCGGCTATATTTATGAACGAGCCCTTCCCCCGCAGCCTCAGACCCTCGGGCAGGTCTCTGTGGACTGTTCCCAGGTCGAGGCTCCGGACTTAAGGTGACCGAGCCTTCTCTGTCCGAGGTCCTCGGCTTTGGAACCACCTGCCCGAGGACATAAGGCTCCATCATCTCCTCTTTTAAATCACTTCTTACAACCCACTTTAATCAAACGGCTTTTGTTTTCTGTGTCTCTCTTCTTGTGTTTGTTCTGCTTTTTCTTCCTGTATCCGTTGTATTCAATTATGTTGACTTTGTATTATGACTGTTTTATTGTTTATAATGCTGACTGTGCAGCGCTTTGTAAACTTTGCTTTTTAAAAGTGCTATACAAATAAAGATGTATTATTATTATTATTATTATTATTATTACTTACAGCTCGTCCAGTCCCCAGCGAGACAGAGGCCAAGAGCAGAGCGAGGAGGGCAGCAGCCATCTGAGGCACATGAACGTGTGAGGAGTTTGTCAAAGGTTAAATATAATGTAGACTTACCTCTGGAGATGTGTGGAGTCGCTGTGGCTTTGGGAGAAGGAGAAACACATTTATACACTTAGGACCAAGGAGGAGGAGGCGGCTGAAAGTCCTCGGTCCTGTTTGGGGACAGACCAGACCTGGCTCCACCTGAAAACCTGGTCTCTCCTGAAAACTGGACTGACACGAATCAGAAGCAAAACTATGACCGGTCTGCAGCGAGACGGGTTTGGAAACTCTGAGCTGACGTTCTTGATCGATTAATCACATTCACGTCATCGTTAACTCGTGATTATACACAATTAATTGCATATTATCTCCGTTCTAAATGTCGCTTGGTTTTTAAAGGAATTGGATAAAGTTTAAGGATCCTCTTGTCTCCAAAAAGAAAGAATTTGATTGTCTGTAGTAATGAGTCACAATTAAATGTATTGTATTGTTTTGTGAATAACTTAGAGTTGCCTTGTGTTCAAGTCGTCGTCCAGAAACAATACATTTATAAAAGTGGATTCGTCTGAGTTTTGCTCTAGAGTTCTAATAGTTCCATCTGTAAAGTTTGAACTGGAAGCTGCAAATATGTCTCTTTCATGACAGAATGATTGGACTGTTCTGAGCATCCTGTCCCGTCTCCGGCCCTTTGTCCCGTCTCCGGCACTTTGTATCGTCTCCGGCCCTTTGTCCCGTCTCCGGCACTTTGTATCGTCTCCGGCCCTTTGTATCGTCTCCGGCCCTTTGTATACTATCCCCGGCCCTTCTGTCTCCGGCCCGTTGTCCCATCTCCGGCCCTTTGTCCCGTCTCCGGCCCTTTGTCCCGTCTCCGGCCCTTTGTCCCGTCTCCGGCCCTTTGTCCTGTCTCCGGCCCTTTGTCCCGTCTCCTGCCCTTTGTCCCGTCTCCGGCCCTTTTTCCAGGACTCACCTGCTCTTCAGAGACTTTCCAAAACATGTTAATTGTTGTGATTCCGGTCGTCAGAGAGTTTAAAGTTTCTGAAGTTTTTTTCTGGTTTTTCTGTTTTTAATCATGTTCGTACCGTGTCCTTTGGTGTTTCGAAATCAAATGTGTTATTATACAGTGGGGCGGCTGCGGCTGTAAAGTGCCAAACTGTGGTTGTGTCCTTAGGCAAGACACTCCCCGCACATAAGAATGAGTCTGGTGTGTGTGTGAGTGGTCGCCTCAGCTCTGTCAGTTTGCCCCAGGGCAGAGTAATTACATGTGAAGCACTGTATAAAACCAATGTATTATTATTATTATTATTATTGCTGTCATTTATTGAATCTTTCCAAAATGACAGAGTTATGTTGAAAATGTGTCTAAACTTGTGACAAAGTGCTGGAGGAGTGAAGCAACCTCCCTCGGGCCACATTTACCACATTTACCAACCGGATCGACCGGACGGTGAGCAAAGAGGTCAGATCTAATAACAACTGGTTTTCTGACTTGCTGTAGACCAGGCCAGTCCAAACCCAGACCTGTCCCGGGGTCTGGACCGGCTTTGGTTTGGCTTTGTGGATTATGATTACAGGTAAATTCGCTCCAAATGTGGAAAAAAACAAATGTCAGGATAAAAAAATACAGATTACTACAGGATTCTCAAGGCTCCGAGCTTTACCCATGGTCCAGCTTTACTCATGGTCCAGCTTTACCCATGGTCCAGCTTTACCTATGGTCCAGCTTTACCCATGGTCCAGCTTTACCTATGGTCCAGCTTTACTCATGGTCCAGCTTTACCCATGGTCCAGCTTTACCCATGGTCCACCTTTACTCATGTTCCAGCTTTACCCATGGTCCAGCTTTACTCATGGTCCAGCTTTACCCATGGTCCAGCTGTGCCCATGGTCCAACTTTACCCATGGTCCAGCTTTACCCATGGTCCAGCTTTACCCATGGTCCAGCTTTACCCATGGTCCAGCTTTACTCATGTTCCGGCTTTACCTATGGCCCAGCTTTACCCATGGTCCAGCTTTACCCATGGTCCAGCTTTACTCATGGTCCAGCTTTACCCATGGTCCAGCTTTGCCCATGGTCCAACTTTACCCATGGTCCAGCTTTACCCATGGTCCAGCTTTACTCATGGTCCAGCTTTACCCATGGTCCAGCTTTACCCATGGTCCAGCTTTACTCATGTTCCAGCTTTACCCATGGCCCAGCTTTACCCATGGTCCAGCTTTACCCATGGTCCAGCTTTACCCATGGTCCAACTTTACCCATGGTCCAGCTTTACCCATGGTCCAGCTTTACCCATGGTCCAGCTTTACCCATGGCCCAGCTTTAACCATGGTCCAGCTTTACCCATGGTCCAGCTTTACCCATGGTCCAGTTTTACCCATGGCCCAGCTTTACCCATGGTCCAGCTTTACCTATGGTCCAGCTTTACCCATGGCCCAGCTTTACCCACGGCCCAGCTTTACCCATGGTCCAGCTTTACCCATGGTCCAGTTTTCCCCATGGTCCAGCTTCCCGTCTCCGGCCCTTTGTCCTGTCTCCAGCCCTTTGTCCCGTCTCCGGCCCTTTGTCCCGTCTCCGGCCCTTTGTCCCGTCTCCGGCCCTTTGTCCTGTCTCCAGCCCTTTGTCCCGTCTCCGGCCCTTTGTCCCGTCTCCGGCCCTTTGTCCTGTCTCCAGCCCTTTGTCCCGTCTCCGGCCCTTTGTCCCGTCTCCGGCCCTTTGTCCCGTCTCCGGCCCTTTGTCCCGTCTCCGGCCCTTTGTCCAGTCTCCGGCCCTTTGTCTCGTCTCCGGCCCTTTGTCCCGTCTCCGGCCCTTTGTCCCGTCTCCGGCCCTTTGTCCAGTCTCCGGCCCTTTGTCCCGTCTCCTGCCCTTTGTCCCGTCTCCTGCCCTTTGTCCGGTCTCCGGCCCTTTGTCCAGTCTCCGGCCCTTTGTCCCGTCTCCTGCCCTTTGTCCCGTCTCCCTGCCCTTTGTCCGGTCTCCGGCCCTTTGTCCCATCTCCGGCCCTTTGTCCCGTCTCCGGCCCTTTGTCCCGTCTCCGGCCCTTTGTCCCGTCTCCGGCCCTTTGTCCAGTCTCCGGCCCTTTGTCTCGTCTCCGGCCCTTTGTCCCGTCTCCGGCCCTTTGTCCCGTCTCCGGCCCTTTGTCCAGTCTCCGGCCCTTTGTCCCGTCTCCTGCCCTTTGTCCCGTCTCCTGCCCTTTGTCCGGTCTCCGGCCCTTTGTCCAGTCTCCGGCCCTTTGTCCCGTCTCCTGCCCTTTGTCCCGTCTCCTGCCCTTTGTCCGGTCTCCGGCCCTTTGTCCCATCTCCGGCCCTTTGTCCCGTCTCCGGCCCTTTGTCCTGTCTCCGGCCCTTTGTCCCGTCTCCTGCCCTTTGTCCCGTCTCCTGCCCTTTGTCCCGTCTCCGGCCCTTTTTCCAGGACTCACCTGCTCTTCAGAGACTTTCCAAAACATGTTAATTGTTGTGATTCCGGTCGTCAGAGAGTTTAAAGTTTCTGAAGTTTTGTTCTGGTTTTTCTGTTTTTAATCATGTTCGTACCGTGTCCTTTGGTGTTTCGAAATCAAATGTGTTATTATACAGTGGGGCGGCTGCGGCTGTAAAGTGCCAAACTGTGGTTGTGTCCTTAGGCAAGACACTCCCCGCACATAAGAATGAGTCTGGTGTGTGTGTGAGTGGTCGCCTCAGCTCTGTCAGTTTGCCCCAGGGCAGAGTAATTACATGTGAAGCACTGTATAAAACCAATGTATTATTATTATTATTATTATTGCTGTCATTTATTGAATCTTTCCAAAATGACAGAGTTATGTTGAAAATGTGTCTAAACTTGTGACAAAGTGCTGGAGGAGTGAAGCAACCTCCCTCGGGCCACATTTACCACATTTACCAACCGGATCGACCGGACGGTGAGCAAAGAGGTCAGATCTAATAACAACTGGTTTTCTGACCTCCTGTAGACCATGGTCCAGCTTTACCCATGGTCCAGCTTTACTCATGGTCCAGCTTTACCCATGGTCCAGCTTTACCCATGGTCCAGCTGGCCTGGTCTACATGGTCCAGCTTTACCCATGGTCCAGCTTTACCCATGGTCCAGCTTTACCCATGGCCCAGCTTTACCCATGGCCCAGCTTTACCCATGGTCCAGCTTTACCCATGGTCCAGCTTTACCCATGGTCCAGCTTTATCCCTGGTCCAGCTTGAGGACGTTGGTGACTTCAGTTTGTGTTTAAATACCTCCAGAATCCACCTGTTTCTGAGCAGGAGGTTATGAAGCTACATTTATTCAACAATTATACCGTCAGAGGACTTCTCTTTCTGGAAACATAACGAAGCTTTAAAACAGATTTTCTATAAGACGATGAAAAATGATAAAAATGAAAGATACAGAAACTTCTCTTTGAATGAGGAAAGAAAACAACAGTTGTTCAAATAAACTACATTGGTTTGTCCCTTTGGAGAATCTAGTTTTCACACAGAATGAGTCAAATTAAGACACCCCCCCTCCTCCTCCTCTCCCCTCCTCCTCCTCTCCCCTCCTCCCCCTCCTCCTCCTCCTCTCCCCCTCCTGATACCCCCCCCCCCCTCGGGCCACCTGCGTTGCTGTTTTATAGATGTCTAAAAACGGCTGAACCAGCGAAGGGGAGCTTTGCCGCTGGTGCAGTCCTCAGAATGAGAGGTCTGTGGGGTCAGTGCAGGCTCAGGGATAAGCTCCTGCTGTGAGGAGGTGTGAGGAGTCAGCTCTACTGTGAGGAGGTGTGAGGAGTCAGCTCTACTGTGAGGAGGTGTGAGGAGTCAGCTCCTGCTGTGAGGAGGTGTGAGGAGTCAGCTCTACTGTGAGGAGGTGTGAGGAGTCAGCTCTACTGTGAGGAAGTGTGAGGAGTCAGCTCTACTGTGAGGAGGTGTGAGGAGTCAGCTCTACTGTGAGGAGGTATGAGGAGTAAGCTCTACTGTGAGAAGTAAGCTCTACTGTGAGGAGGTGTGAAGAGTCAGCTCTACTGTGAGGAGGTGTGAGGAGTAAGCTCTGCTGTGAGGAGGTGTGAGGAGTAAGCTCTACTGTGAGGAGGTGTGAGGAGTCAGCTCTACTGTGAGGAGGTGTGAGGAGTCAGCTCTACTGTGAGGAGTAAGCTCTACTGTGAGGAGGTGTGAGGAGTCAGCTCTACTGTGAGGAGGTGTGAGGAGTAAGCTCTACTGTGAGGAGGTGTGAGGAGTCAGCTCCTGCTGTGAGAGGAGTGTGAGGAGTCAGCTCTACTGTGAGGAGGTGTGAGGAGTCAGCTCTACTGTGAGGAGGTGTGAAGAGTCAGCTCTACTGTGAGGAGGTGTGACGAGTCAGCTCTACTGTGAGGAGGTGTGAAGAGTCAGCTCTACTGTGAGGAGGTGTGACGAGTCAGCTCTACTGTGAGGAGGTGTGAAGAGTCAGCTCTACTGTGAGGAGGTGTGAAGAGTCAGCTCTACTGTGAGGAGGTGTGAGGAGTCAGCTCTACTGTGAGGAGGTGTGAAGAGTCAGCTCTGCTGTGAGGAGGTGTGAGGAGTCAGCTCTACTGTGAGGAGGTGTGAGGAGTCAGCTCTACTGTGAGGAGGTGTGAGGAGTCAGCTCCTGCTCCTGGGACATTACGAGTTTACAAACGTATAGATCTGCTCCTCTGTTTGCAATGAAGAGATCTTCTTCCAAATGTTTACTCAAAATCCAGTTAAAGAGAGTTCAGTGTTTTTTCACGACAAAACTATGGCAGCCTTTCACAACAGGCACTTGGCACGGCCTCCTAAATCAAGACCCCTGAATTATATTAAACATTTCCCTGAGGCATCACTTGGAATAAACCTCCAGATTCCGAAAGGTCTGTGAACATAACTAATTGAATACAAAAAGAAAAAAGAAAACACTTAATCGACTATAAAACCGTAAATTAGAGCCCTACAAAAGACACAGAACCAGATTTTCTTAATAAAAATAGTTAAATGAAAGTTAAATTAGTCCGTTGATGAAAGTTAATGAAAGTTAAATTAGTCCATTAGAAACATTACCCCTGAGTGAGAGGAGCCAGGACCAGGACCAGAGGGATCCAGAGAAGATCACAGGTCCCAGCCCCGTCCCCTGTGGTCCCCCGAGCTGCTGCTAAACTCCTGAGATCCTGGGAAACTGCCGCCGCCACCAACGCAGCGTTTATTTACACAGGACGCAGGGTTCAGGGAGAGGGTTAGCAATTAGCATTTAGCAATTATGGCTGAGCTTTAGCAGACGCGTCCAAAGCTGAGGTGGGGGGCCTGTGAAAGTGAGAGCGGCTGAGATGTTGGGGCCAGTGTGAAGTGTGTGACAAATACACGATGCATGGATTCACTTTATACTTTATACTTTATACTCTGTACTGCTTTTCAGGAATTCAACAGTTTTGTAAAGAAATTCTGCAACATTTATGGACATTTATCAACATTCTCTCTATGGTCCAATACCATGTGGTCTCTCTCTAATGTCCAATACCATGTGGTCTCTGTCTATGGACCAATACCATGTGGTCTCTCTCTATGGACAAATACCATGTGGTCTCTCCCTATGGTCCAATACCATTTGGTCTCTCTCTATGGACAAATACCATGTGGTCTCTCTCTATGGTCCAATACCATGTGGTGTCTCCCTATGGTCCAATACCATTTGGTCTCTCTCTATGGTCCAATACCATGTGGTCTCTCCCTATGGTCCAATACCATTTGGTCTCTCCCTATGGTCCAATACCATGTGGTCTCTCCCTATGGTCCAATATCATGTGGTCTCTCTCTATGGACAAATACCATGTGGTCTCTCTCTATGGACCAATACCATGTGGTCTCTCTCTATGGTCCAATACCATGTGGTCTCTCTCTATGGACCAATACCATGTGGTCTCTCTCTATGGACAAATACCATGTGGTCTCTCTCTATGGACAAATACCATGTGGTCTCTCCTTATGGACCAATACCATGTGGTATCTCTATGGTCCAATACCATGTGGTCTCTCTCTATGGTCCAATACCATGTGGTCTCTCTCTATGGACAAATACCATGTGGTCTCTCCTTATGGACCAATACCATGTGGTCTCTCTCTATGGACCAATACCATGTGGTCTCTCTCTATGGACCAATACCATGTGGTCTCTCTCTATGGTCCAATACCATGTGGTCTCTCTCTATGGACCAATACCATGTGGTCTCTCTCTATGGTCCAATACCATGTGGTCTCTCTCTATGGACCAATACCATGTGGTCTCTCTCTATGGACAAATACCATGTGGTCTCTCCTTATGGACCAATACCATGTGGTCTCTCTCTATGGACCAATACCATGTGGTCTCTCTCTATGGACAAATACCATTTGGTCTCTCTCTATGGACAAATACCATGTGGTCTCTCCTTATGGACCAATACCATGTGGTCTCTCTCTATGGACAAATACCATGTGGTCTCTCTCTATGGTCCAATACCATGTGGTCTCTCCCTATGGTCCAATACCATTTGGTCTCTCTCTATGGTCCAATACCATGTGGTCTCTCCCTATGGTCCAATACCATTTGGTCTCTCCCTATGGTCCAATACCATTTGGTCTCTCCCTATGGTCCAATACCATGTGGTCTCTCCCTATGGTCCAATACCATTTGGTCTCTCCCTATGGTCCAATACCATGTGGTCTCTCCCTATGGTCCAATACCATGTGGTTTCTCTCTATGGACCAATACCATGTGGTCTCTCTCTATGGACCAATACCATGTGGTCTCTCTCTATGGTCAAATACCATGTGGTCTCTCTCTATGGTCCAACACCATGTGGTCTCTCTCCATGATCCAATACCATGTGGTCTTTCCCTATGGTCCAATACCATTTGGTCTCTCCCTATGGTCTAATACCATGTGGTCTCTCTCTCTGGACCAATACCATGTGGTCTCTCTCTATGGTGAAACACCATGTGGTCTTTCTCTATGGTCCAATACCATGTGGTCTCTCCCTATGGTCCAATACCATTTGGTCTCTCCCTATGGTCCAATACCATTTGGTCTCTCTCTATGGTCAAATACCATGTGGTCTCTCCCTATGGTCCAATACCATTTGTTCTCTCCCTATGGTCCAATACCATGTGGTCTCTCCCTATGGTTTAATACCATGTGGTCTCTCTCTCTGGACCAATACCATGTGGTCTCTCTCTATGGTGAAACACCCTGTGGTCTTTCTCTATGGTCCAATACCATGTGGTCTCTCCCTATGGTCCAATACCATTTGGTCTCTCCCTATGGTCCAATACCATGTGGTCTCTCCCTATGGTCCAATACCATTTGGTCTCTCCCTATGGTCCAATACCATGTGGTCTCTCTCTATGGACCAATTCCATGTGGTCTCTCTCTCTGGACCAATACCATGTGGTCTCTCTCTATGGTCAAACACCATGTGGTCTTTCTCTATGGTCCAATACCATTTGGTCTCACCCTATGGTCCAATACCATGTGAATTAGGATGATACAAGAATATTTTGCACTGATAATAATCTGTTCCTTTCCTTTAACCGTGTCTCTATAAACACAGCAGAACTTATCTCACACTGGTCACCATAAACATGCAGGGACCATGAAGCACCGAGCGGCTCACGTGTGTCTCCGTGAACGCACTCGTCTCTGAATAGAAAACGCACACGTCTTTGTGAGTAGAAAACGTGGCGCTCTCGTCGGGGGGGCAATAGTCAGAGTCGCACACGGACAAAACACACACTCGCCACTGGTTCCTCCGTCTGTGATGGAATTGGTCGACCTCAGATGCGGAGGGCAAGTTCATAATGGAGAGATCTATCTGCAGTTTTCCGGTGATAAACGGCGGTAATCAAAGACAAACTTATGGACGTGTTTGGGGGTCTGTGGGAGGGGTCTGTGGGGGGTCAGTCCAGTCCTGACGAATGGAGATGGACAGAGGACGGGGCGGTTCTTCAACAACAACCATCTGTAACCCTTCTGCAGGGCGGAGCCAAGTACATGTTATAATTACTGACCAATCAAAAGACAGAAAATAATCAGAAGGTTATTACAAATATGGGCAAAAGGTAGCAAGAGAGGCTGGACTGAACTGGGCTGGGCTGGACTGAGGATGAGGATGATGAGGAAGATGATGATGCTGATGATGACGATGATGATGAGTATGATGAAGGTGATGAGGCTGATGAGGAGGATGAAGGTGATGATGACGATGATGAAGATGATGTGAGTGATGAGGATGATGAAGGTGATGAAGGTGATGAGGACGATGATGATGAGGGTGATGATGATAAGGATGATGAGGCTAATGAAGATGATGTGAGTGATGAGGAGTATGATGAGGATGATGAAGATGGTGAGGCTGATGATGAGGATGATGAAGATGATGAAGTGGCTGATGAGGATGATGAAGGTGATGAAGATGATGTGAGTGATGAGGCTGATGATGAGGATGATGAAGATGGTGAGGCTGATGATGAGGATGATGAAGATGGTGAGGGTGATGAGGATGATGAAGAGAATGAGGATGATGAGGGCGATGAAGAGAATGAGGCTGATGAGGATGATGAAGATGATGAGGATGAGGATGATGAAGATGATGATGAAGAGAATGAGGATGATGAAGATGATGAGGCTGATAAGGATGATGAGGGAGATGAGGATGATGAAGATGATGAGGCTGATGAGGATGATGAGGGAGATGAGGATGATGAAGTTGATGATGAAGAGAATGAGGATGATGAAGATGATGAGGATGATGAAGAGAATGAGGATGATGAAGATGATGAGGCTGATGAGGATGATGAGGATGATGAGTAAGATGAGGATGATCAGGATGATGACGATAATGAGGGAGATGAGGCTGATGAAGATGATGAGGATGATGAGGGAGATGAGGCTGATGAAGATGATGAGGATGATGAGGATGATGAGGCTGATGAGGCTGATGAGGATGATGAAGAGAATGAGGATGATGAGGGAGATGAAGACGATGTCATGTGCAGTGAGAGGAAGGACAAAGGCAAAATAATGATTTAATGACAAATAAAAAAAAATGTCCAAGGTAAAAACAAAATCAAAATCCAGACTGAACACAGGAACAAGGGGAGAGGAGCACAGGTACATACAGACACAGGTACATACAGACACAGGTACATATAGACACAGGTACATATAGACACAGGTACATACAGACACAGGTACATACAGACACAGGTACATACAGACACAGGTACATACAGTATAGACACAGACACAGGTGAAACACATCAGGGCGGGGCAGACCATCAACACGGGACCAGGAAGCCAAATTAAAACCAAGTAAAATAACACAAAATCTACACCATGAAAGAACCACCCCTCCATGACACAGCTCCAAGATGTCCCAAAAAACCATGGTATTGGTCCATAGAGAGAGGCCACATGGTATTGGACCATAGAGAGGGACCACATGGTATTGGTCCATAGAGAGAGACCACATGGTATTGGACCATAGAGAGAGACCACATGGTATTGGACCATAGAGAGAGACCACATGGTATTGGTCCATAGGGAGAGACCACATGGTATTGGTCCATTGAGAGAGACCACATGGTATTGGACCATAGCGAGAGACCACATAGTATTGCTCCATAGAGAGAGGCCACATGGTATTGGACCATAGAAAGAGACCACATGGTATTGGTCCATTGAGAGAGACCACATGGTATTGGACCATAGAGAGAGACCACATGGTATTGGTCCATAGAGAGAGACCACATGGTATTGGTCCATAGGGAGAGACCACATGGTATTGGTCCACAAGGAGAGACCACAGGGTATTGGACCATAGGGAGAGACCACATGGTATTGGTCCATAAGGAGAGACCACATGGTATCGGACCATAGAGAGACCACATGGTATTGGACCATAGGGAGAGACCACATGGTATTGGTCCATAGAGAGAGACCACAGGGAATTGGTCCATAGAGACCACATGGTATTGGACCATAAGGAGAGACCACATGGTATTGGTCCATAAGGAGAGACCACATGGTATTAGACCATAGAGAGAGACCACATGGTATTGGTCCATATGGAGAGACCACATGGTATTGGTCCATAGAGAGAGACCACATGGTATTGGTCCATAGAGAGAGACCACATGGTATTGGACCATAGGGAGATACCACATGGTATTGGTCCATAGAGAGAGACCACATGGTATTCGTCCATAGAGAGAGACCACATGGTATTGGACCATAGGGAGAGACCACATGGCTTGGTCCATAAGGAGAGACCACATGGTATTGGACCATAGGGAGATACCACATGGTATTGGTCCATAGAGAGAGACCACATGGTATTGGTCCATAGAGAGAGACCACATGGTATTGGACCATAGGGAGAGACCACATGGCATTGGTCCATAAGGAGAGACCACATGGTATTGGTCCATAGAGAGAGACCACATGGTATTGGTCCATAGAGAGAGACCACATGGTATTGGTCCATAGGGAGAGACCACATGATATTGGTCCACAAGGAGAGACCACAGGGTATTGGTCCACAAGGAGAGACCACATGGTATTGGTCCATAGAGAGAGACCACATCGTATTGGTCCATAGAGAGAGACCACATGGTATTGGATCATAGGGAGAGACCACATGGTATTGGTCCATAGAGAGAGACCACAGGGAATTGGTCCATAGAGACCACATGGTATTGGACCATAAGGAGAGACCACATGGTATTGGTCCATAAGGAGAGACCACATGGTATTAGACCATAGAGAGAGACCACATGGTATTGGTCCATAGGGAGAGACCACATGGTATTGGTCCATAGGGAGAGACCACATGGTAGTGGACCATAGGGAGATACCACATGGTATTGGTCCATAGAGAGAGACCACATGGTATTGGTCCATAGAGAGAGACCACATGGTATTGGACCATAGGGAGAGACCACATGGCATTGGTCCATAAGGAGAGACCACATGGTATTGGTCCATAGAGAGAGACCACATGGTATTGGTCCATAGAGAGAGACCACATGGAATTGGTCCATAGGGAGAGACCACATGGTATTGGTCCACAAGGAGAGACCACAGGGTATTGGTCCACAAGGAGAGACCACATGGTATTGGTCCATAGGGAGAGACCACATGGTATTGGTCCACAAGGAGAGACCACATGGTATTGGACCATAGGGAGATACCACATGGTGTTGGACCATAGAGAGAGACCACATGGTATTGGTCCATAGGGAGAGACCACATGGCATTGGTCCATAGAGAGAGACCACATGGTATTGGTCCTTAGAGAGAGACCACATGGTATTGGACCATAGGGAGAGACCACATGGCATTGGTCCATAAGGAGAGACCACATGGTATTGGACCATAGAGATACCACATGGTATTTGTCTATAGGGAGAGACCACATGGCATTGGTCCATAGAGACCACATGGTATCAGTCCATAGAGAGAGACCACATGGTATTGGTCCATAGGGAGAGACCACATGGTATTTGTCCATAGAGAGAGACCACATGGTATTGGACCATAGGGAGAGACCACATGGAATTGGACCATAGAGAGAGACCGCGGCACGGTGGCTGAGTGGATAGCACTCTCGCCTCTCAGCAAGAAGGTCCTGGGTTCGAATCCCGGTTGGACCAGGGCCTTTCTGGATGGAGTTTGCATGTTCTCCCCTTGTCTGCGTAGGTTTCCTCCGGGTGCTCCGGTTTCCCCTACCACTAAAAATATGTACAATAGGTCTGGCATGTGCCTCCTGTACTGGTACCCCCACTCCCAAAAATAACAATTGTAAACCGCTTTGAGACTCCAATGTGCAGTGAAAAGGCGGTATATAAAGATTACTTACTTACTACTTACTAGATTACTTACCACATGGTATTGGTCCATAGAGACCACATGGTATCAGTCCATAGAGAGAGACCACATGGTATTGGACCATAGAGAGAGACCACATGGTATTGGTCCATAGGGAGAGACCACATGATATTGGTCCATAGGGAGAGACCACATGGTATTTGTCCATAGAGAGAGACCACATGGTATTGGACCATAGAGAGAGACCACATGGTATTTGTCCATAGAGAGAGACCACATGGTATTGGACCATAGGGAGAGACCACATGGAATTGGACCATAGGGAGAGACCACATGGAATTGGTCCGTAGAGAGACCACATGGTATTGGACCATAGGGAGAGACCACATGGTATTGGACCATAGAGAGAGACCACATGGTATTGGTCCGTAGAGAGAGACCACATGGTATTAGACCATAGGGAGAGACCACATGGTATTGGACCATAGGGAGAGACCACATGGTATTGGACCATAGGGAGAGACCACATGGTATTGGTCCGTAGAGAGAGACCACATGGTATTGGACCATAGGTAGAGACTACATGGTATTGGTCCGTAGAGAGAGACCACATGGTATTGGACCATAGAGAGAGACCACATGGTAATAGACCACAAAGAGGTCGTCAGCTCAGAGTTTCCAAACCCGTCTCGCTGCAGACCGGTCATAGTTTTGCTTCTGATTCGTGTCAGTCCAGTTTTCAGGAGAGACCAGGTTTTCAGGTGGAGCCGGGTCTGGTCTGTCTCCAAAGAGGACCGAGGACTTTCAGCCGCCTCCTCCTCCTTGGTCCTAAGTGTATAAATGTGTTTCTCCTTCTCCCAAAGCCACAGCGACTCCACACATCTCCAGAGGTAAGTCTACATTATATTTAACCTTTGACAAACTCCTCACACGTTCATGTGCCTCAGATGGCTGCTGCCCTCCTCGCTCTGCTCTTGGCCTTTGTCTCGCTGGGGACTGGACTAGTTGTAAGTAATAATAATAATAATAATAATAATAATAATACATCTTTATTTGTATAGCACTTTTAAAAAGCAAAGTTTACAAAGGGCTGCACAGTCAGCATTATAAACAATAAAACAGTCATAATACAAAGTCAACATAATTGAATACAACGGATACAGGAAGAAAAAGCAGAACAAACACAAGAAGAGAGACACAGAAAACAAAAGCTGTTTGATTAAAGTGGGTTGTAAGAAGTGATTTAAAAGAGGAGATGATGGAGCCTTATGTCCTCGGGCAGGTGGTTCCAAAGCCGAGGACCTCGGACAGAGAAGGCTCCGTCACCTTAAGTCCGGAGCCTCGACCTGGGAACAGTCCACAGAGACCTGCCCGAGGGTCTGAGGCTGCGGGGGAAGGGCTCGTTCATAAATATAGCCGGGTGCCAGACCTAAACGAGCTTTAAAAGTAATCAGTAAAAACCTAAAAAATCAATTCTGAAGCACACAGGGAGCCAGTGGAGGGACACGAACACAGGGGTGATGTGCTCCCTTCTGTTCAAACCAGTGAGACGTTTTGGACACGGACGTATTTATATTAAAACATCTTTTCTCTTCTCAGATTAGACCAATAGGAGGAGACCAAGGTCAGTGACGTGAATTAATGATGATAATAATAATAATGCATTGGTGTGGGAGTCAATGGTCTTGTGGTGGACTCGAACCCACAACCTTCTCTACCAACTGAGCCAGAGTATTAATGAATGATGAAAGTGTCCTTTGTGTCTCAGGCTGTGAGAACGGCTGGACTCCGTTTGATTCTCGTTGTTATAAGTTCTTCAACCGGAAGTCCTCCTGGATGGATGCAGAGGTGAGCGGGCATAGAACCTATGATTTCATAAAACACAGACTTTTATTAGCCACTTTTCATGGGTTCAACCTCAACGAGTCTGTTTCCTCCACTTCCTGCTCATTCTGAATGTCTCCTATGTCCTAGTCTCCTATGTCCTTGTCTCCTATGTCCTTGTCTCCTATGTCCTTGTCTCCTATGTCCTAGTCTCCTATGTCCTTGTCCCTTGTGTCCACAGACCAGCTGTCTCCGGGTCGGAGCAAACCTGGTCTCCGTCCACAGTCTTGAAGAGAACACGTTCATCGGGGACTTGATCTTTAAGGCCACAGGGTCCAACACTGGGACCTGGCTCGGTGGGACTGACGCCGTCGTGGTAAATGCAACAAATATAAAAGTCTGCGCCGTCCACACTTCAGGCTGGGATTGAAACATGTGAACCTCTAATAATGGTCACATGAACGGTTTTAATCCCTTCACAAATCACAGAATCAACTACAGATTTATTTAATCTAATTTCATACAAAGACACTGAAGATGAATTAAATATAAAACAAATCTGTATAGAAAGGATGGTCAATTGTGTCGTTTCAGACCATAGACTGTAGCTATATGGACCAACCAGCTAGCTCACTTAGCTTGTTCACTTAGCTTACTTACTAGCTCAAAGAAGCCCAGTATATACTCTCTGCCTCTCGTTCAATGTAAAAGTAAACTTGATTTTGGCCTTAATTAATCCATAATCTCCGCAGTCTTTTGTTTTTATTGTGATATTGTTTTTGTAAATCCAGGTATTGGCCATAAAAAAAACTCTTGCCATAGCAACCGTCAAATGGCCATATAAGGAAATTGGCTCCACTACGGCGACGTCGGCTCTCGCTTAATCCTTTCCTGATATATCCTTGGCTCTGGGAATGTCGCAGATCGGGTCAAATACGGAGAACACTGTGGGCGGCACGGTGGCTGAGTGGTTAGCACTCTCGGTTCTTGGCAAGAGGGTCCTGGGTTCTGCGTAGGTTTCCTCTTGGTGCTCCAGTTTCCCCTACCACTAAAAACGTACAATAGGTCTGAGTTATGCCTCCTGTCCTGGCGACCCACTCTGTGTGCTTTGTGACTCTGTTCTGTGAAAGTTGCTCTATAATTAAGTAATGTTTATTTATATAGCGCATTTCACAGACCGAGGTCACTCAAAGCGCTTTACAATTGTCAGAGTCAGATATTGTTCCAAACATTCCACAAACGGTGAGGACGGAAGTGAGACGAGAACACACTGGTCCATCAAAGCCTCCATTCAACACCATTCACTCGCTCAGTGGTAGGGGACACCGGAGCACCTGGAAAAAACCGGAGCAGACACGGGGAACATGTAAATACTACACAGAAAGGTCCTGTTCTGACTGGGATTCGAACCCAGGACCTTCTTGCTGAGAAGCGAGACTGCTAACCACTCAGCCACTGCACTTACTTATTTCACTAGAGGGAATAAAGTGTGCTGCAGCCTTAAATTAAAACAAATATCTTTATGATCCTCAGAATAACAGGTGGATGTGGAGCGACGGGACACGCTGGGACTTTGAGCAGTGGTTTACGGATGAGCCCAACAACCGGGACGGTCGGGAGGAGGGTCTGATGATCAACTTCCATGACGGTACGAGACCTCAACCCGGTCTACACCTGGTCTACACCCGGTCTGCACCCAGTCTACACCCGGTCTTCACCCAGTCCGGTCTAACCCCTGGTGTCTACAAACAGTCTACACATTTGTGGTGTTTTAGATCCCTGACCCTAATTGACGCATCTATTTTGTCTTTAGAACTTATAACAAATAAACGTGACAGAGTTATGGATTATTCAAAGGCCGAAACACTCAAAACTCTACGTCCTCTACACTCTACAAAATCATGTTTGTGGAAAGGGAATAATGTTTTTAGCGGAACACCAGAAAAAGCTTCTTAGCAACCGTTGCCATGAGCAAACTCAAGGCTTGCATTCAGGCGGAAAAGAGCAAAGTATACCTCATGATGATAAAAAATGATACACATTTAGCAACTAAAATGAACAGGGTTAGCGTAGAACAGACGTCCGTGTGTTACTATGACAACGCCTGAACCGATCGCGGTGTAAATGAACCTAATGCGTTTCTTTTCTGTGACATGTTTCAGCCATGACGTGGAACGATTCCCCACAATCCAATCTTCTGCCCTTCGTCTGTGTCAGAGACTATATTTGGCCCTGTTTTTATGAATCTGGATGACACCACCTACCACTGCACCCCCGACATGTGACCCCCGGGTCCTAGCGTCTGCATCTGTCACCAAACAGCATTGTTGTAACTGTGTGTGGTTAATAAACACGTTTCTCAGCTTTAACTTGCCTTGAGTGGACTTGTGTATTTCAATTTGGAGAGACGAGAAAACAGGAAGTTTTGAGTATTTTATTGAAAGGAGGTTTGGCGCCCTAGGTCCCGGTGCGGCCTTCAGATCGGAAAGGCTCCTGCGATGGAGCGCGCACAATCCCCCGGGACCTAGGCACTGGTGGCGGCATTTGGCAGCGGGAAGCAGATTGAAGGCAGATTGGAGGCAGGGTGCAGAGGAGGAGGAGGGGAGGTGGTGGTTGCGAGGCTTCAGGAGGCAGAGAGTGGGAGTTGCTCCGTTTTTATGCGGCTGGCGAGTCGGTACGATGATTGGAAGGGGGTGTCTGCTGAGCGATAGGCTGGGGATGCGAGCCGGCCTGGAGGGGGTAATTTTGGTTAACGTCTACCAAATTGAATTTTCGCTGGCTGCATTTCAATTTGGAGAAACGAGAAAACAGGAAGTTTTGAGTATTTTATTGAAAGGAGGTTTGGCGCCCTAGGTCCCGGTGCGGCCTTCAGATCGGAAAGGCTCCTGCGATGGAGCGCGCACAATCCCCAAAAAGGCTGCGTGTTGATGGAGTTTTCGAAGCCTGATTGGGAGGTGATCGGGGGTGAGAAATAACGGTCCGTTGAGATCTCTTTTCCGAGAGCGGAGGCGAGTGTAATACATCGTGGGTTATCTTTGCGCGCTGGGAACGTGAGCGTTCGCATCACGTTCCGTCAGACGCTGCGGCAGCGGAGAGTGTTTGAGAAGTGCGTGCCGCCACCAGAATCTTATTGCTTCACTTACTTTGCTTCGTATTGCTTTGCTGGGAGCTTGCGAGGAAGCCAGTAGACGTTGTGCAGCCAGGATGGCGGACGCGTCTGGCCTGATGTAGGCGGAGAAAGCCGAAGAGGACCAGCGCCCCAGCTGTTGGAGAGGTGGGGGAGCCCCAGCGAGGCCGCGCGCGTGGCGGCGCCTATCCTGAAGGAGTGGGCTGTATAGAGCTGGGGAGACAAATTGCAGAGGAGCAGTAGGGATCTTAGTTGAGCTCTGAACCAGGTTGCTGTCATGGGAAGGTTGTCTGGAGAGAGATGTGTCGGAGCGAGCTATTATTATGTTGCAGGCGCCTTGGTCTTTGAATGTTTGAGATGAAGGTTGAAAGGGTCAGGGGACATTATGTTGGGTGAAAAAGAGCGACCTTTGTGTGATGCTTCCACTACGTCGAGATTATCGCGCATGACGGAGATCCTCTTTCTCTGCCACGTGTGATTCCACGGCGCGCAGGCCACGACCACTGGGAATATCTCGTGTAGGGCAGAGGAGATGCTCCGGTGGAAGGTAGCGGCCACGGCCCGGCAACCCAATGGTCCTGGAAGAACCCCCCAAAACCCACGGAAGGGGCACGTCCGTGTAGAAGCGGAGACCTGTAGGGGCAGAGACATATCGGAGAGGGCCATTGATGTTGCGGGCGCCCTTACGCTTAGAATCTTGGGTTGGAGAGTAGATAATCAGGATAGTAGGATGGTCGGGAAGCCGCGTCTCGGACC